CAGCCCCATAGTGGAGGTGGGGCAATGATGTGGAGAGATGGGACAGGGTGGCGGGCGGATAAGCCAGGCCCACCTGCTGCAGGACTCTCTGGATGTCTCTTCATCCTCATCATCATCACTGTCTGGGAGGCGATAGTCCTGGAGGGTGACTTGAAGAGGGAGAGACAGGAACAGGGGAAGGGGGAGTGACGGTGAGAGATTTCACCTGAGTGGCTGCCCTCCTGCCTCCCAGAAGTGGTTTGGTTCCCGGGGGCACTTATTCCAGAGCTGAGAAGGCTCTTCAGCCACCTTGATGAGACCTGTCTCTGCCTGCCCCAGCCGTACAGGGCTGGGCCATCATTGAAGCAGGCCTCAGGGCTGCGTTAGGGGCAGGAACAGAAGCCTCAGCCCCTGAATGGACTGAAAGTCCCCTGCCCTCATGGCTGCCCCTGACTCCTCACCCGCTGCTTTGCTCCACCATCTTCCTTGTAGCTCTGGGCTGGGCTCAGCAGATCTCTGGGCACAGGTACCCCTAGCACCTCACTCAGCCCTGCCAGGGAGGCCTTGACCCAGGGACACCAGTGGGCAGCTGCTCACGAGCCTTCACCTCTCTCGGGGTCCTGTCCCCGCAGCACGGCCAGTCGCTTGGCCAGGGCCAGGATCCGTTCCTGCCTCGTGTTCTCCTCCCGCAACTCAAGTGCTGCCTCAGCCAGCAATCTGCTCTTCTCTTCCTCCAGGGACCAGCTGGCTGGCCCCTTGGAATTAGTGCTCCCTGGGCCACCCTGGTTGAGGTCATTCTGGAGAGAAGCAGCTGGAAAGGGCAGTGCCATCAGGGAGGCAGAGACATTCCAAGATCTCTCCTCAGAAGCCATTGAGCCCATTTCTCAACCCTTTCTAATCACGGATCATCAGCTTTTTGATCAGCACTAGCACCTAATGGTTTCTATTACAAATAAAATCAGTATTCCTCCATTTTGCAAATGTAAAAAGCTAGTAATCTTAGCCATGTCTTTTTCAACTACATCTGCCTGATGTTTTAACATTCTGCCCTTAGGGTGGGTGTCCTGTGGTTTGAGAATCACTGCCCTAAAGGATCGGCAGGTCTCTGCCTTTCAGGGCAGGATGAAGAGGTACCACAGACAGCGTGCTAGGCGCTCTCTGTACTGACACAGATCAGCACAGAAAGGGCAATGGAGGAAGCTAACAGCTTGTATATCACTGGGCAGGAAGAATTTTGCCAGACTAGATGTGGCTCTGACACGGTCACCTTCAATTTAGCATTTCAGAGCAAGAGGTTTAAAATCACAGTTTAGGTTTAAGTCTCGGTTCTGCAGCTTAATAACTGTGTGACCTTGGTCAAGTTCCTCAAGCTCACCAGGCCTATTTCCTCATTTATGAAAAAGAATAGTATATACCTTACAAGATTTTGTTTTTTTAAAACAGTGTCTTACTACGTTGCCCAAGCAGGTTTCAAACTCCTGGGCTCCAGCTATCCCCCCTCCTGCCTCTGCCTCCTTAAGTGCTTAGGATTACAGGTGTGAGCCACCACACGTGGCCTCATGAGATTATTGAGGATATTCAATGAGATTGTGCCTCTAAAGGATTTCTCAATCTTTGTAATTCTTCCCTGTGATATGCTGTCCTGTGCCACCACAGATTTAGTAGCATCCCTGGCTTCTATCTTCTAGGTGCCAGGAATAGTCTCTGAGTTGTGACAACCAAAAAGTCTCTAAACGTTGCCACAAGTAGCCTGGGGGGCAAAATCATCCTTCGCTGAAAAATACTGCTCTGACACCTTCAGACAGCACTGTCTAATAAAATGTTCCACGATGATGGGAACATTCCATATCATGTTCTTTATCTGAGCTGTCCAAGATGGTAGACCTGAAGCCCATGTGGCTGCTGAGCATTGAGATGTGCCTGGTGCTGCTAAATAGCTTCTACCTCCTTATCAACATCATGACTGCAGAGAATATTCACTGAGTGCTCACTATGAGTCAGGTATGGTCCCAAGCACTTACTGGTTTTCTCATTTACTCCTCAAGACCTCCCTGTGAGGCAGGTTTTTCCATACATACCTTCATTTTACACATGAGGAAAGTGAGACTGAGGTCAAGTAACTTGTCCAGTGTCACACAGCTAATACGTGGTAGAACTGGGAATCACTGATTCTAAAGCCCGTGCACTTAAACACTAGGCTTGCACTGGCTCCCTGTAGAGTAAGCACTCAATGAATGGTCTTATAATGTTGATCACTCTCTGATTTATTTTCATCTCCCAGGGGGTGAATAGCAGAGCCTCTCCCATCTGGGGAAAGAGGTAGGGCAGGTTCCTGGGGAGCCAGTGGAGGGGTTACCTGGGCCGCCTCCTTTCCAGCTTTCATCGATAGCCACCTCAGCTGCCAGCTGCGTTAGCAGATCCTGTGTCTGCTGGGCTTGAGTCCTGGTGTCTGGTGTGTGATGTGCCTGTCCAGATGAGGGAACCTCAGTGGAGAGCAGGGGTAGCCCAGAAGCAGTCTAGGTCAGGGATGGATGCTAAGGAGTTCTCAAAGCCCAGGGAAAGGAGACAGATTTAGGGCCCACATAATCAGTAGGTCTGGCAGTCCCCAGTAGGACCGAGGGGCCACTCTTTCCTGCCCTACCCAATCCTGCTGTTTGTCCCTGGTCTCCTGGTCTAGTAACAGACCTGAGGATCAGGAGGTAGGGGTGGGAGGCTTTGTCAACTCCTTCAAAGTACAGAAAGCACAAAGGTTGCTGCAAAAGTAATTGAGGTTTTTGCAATGAAAAGAAATGACAAAAAAAGCAATTACTTTTGTACCAACCCCAATACCTGTATCTGGGCTTCTGCTGGGTCCTCACCCTAGTTCCCTCACTTCTCTCCAAAGCCATAACACTCACCAGCTGGGGGGTTTGAGAAGGTGGAACTCTGCCCTGCAATGCCGCAAGCCGGGCCTCCATTTCCTGGGTGGAAGGGATGGAACCCTGACGTTCATCCTTTAGCGCAGCCAGTCGTGCCTCTATCTCTGCCTGTGAGGGGACTAACTCTGCAAGTGGCATGGGAGGAGCCTTGTAAGGGCCAGAGGCATCTCAGTCCCAGAAGCCCTGGTCCTCTAGGCACCCCCACCTGCCCCCACTCACTGGGCTTGTTCTCCTGGCGGAGTCGTGCTAGGCGCTCAGCAATGATCTGGTCTTGTTGTGTCAGTCCCCGGCTCTGGGAAGTGCCGGACTTCTGTTTGGCTTCCAAGGCTGCCACACGCCTGGCAGGATATGAGATAGAAGCTCTTGAAGAAGGCAGAGGGGAGGAGTGAAGATACCCACTCCCTGTTTCCCACTCAAAACATATCATTTCTGGATACCTAGGGAGGTGTCCAATGGGCAATCTTCTGTGGCCCTCACTCATGTCACCCTGCAGCCCAACTTGGCTGACCAGTGAGAGGGTCCAGCTGAGAGTAAGCTCTACCAAATTCTTGTCCTGGGGAGAGGGCTGATGAGCTGCTTTACCAGTAGAAGAGGGCAGTCAGGAACCAGAGAGGAGAGCCTTCTCCTGATACTGTGCTCATTTCATCTAAAAGATGTGGGGGAAGATCTTTCCCTATGGCTCCCTTAACCTTTCCCCAACCCTCTTTGTCTTTTTCTCTTTACCACTTACTTCTTATAGTTCTGAGGTGGTGACCACTTGGAGGCATTGGCAGGAGAAGATCCTCTACAGAGAAGAAATCTAGTGTTAGAAGTCCTGTCATCCCACCAGGCAGTGCCCCCCACTCCAAACACTTCCTGGGCTGACTCTCACCGCAGAGTATAAGCTGTAAAGGCTGACCAGATGCCCACTACCACACTTGGCTGAACGTTCACCCATGCCTGCCTCTCACCTGGTCAGGATCTCATGGCACTGCTTGCAGACTTTCTGTTGGGTGTTCCCAGTCCGAGGCACTGCTGCACTGAAGCTTAGGCAGCCTGAACAGAAGGCCCTGCCACAATTCTTACAGCCGTACTACAAGAAACATAAAGCAGGAAGATCCACCTCTCACCCACCCCTGCAGGCTGCTCCCAGGGAATCTCCAAGCACACACAGAGAAGGCACTTAAGTTATGACCAGCTGCTGAGAGGAGGAAGAGGAGTAGGGCCCCTAAGGCCTAGGGAGAGACAGGAGTGGAGGGTAAAGCAATTCCTCGGTTTCCAGTACCTTATTCAAGCCAAATAAAGCTTTATGCAAAATTCCCATGCTTTCTACCCTGTCTTCAATTCCCTGACCCAGGGGTGTAGAAGATAGATAGATAAAGCCCAGTATTTCAGGCCATTGACTCTTCCACAATGGAGAATCAGAGACAGGTCAGAGCCCATGCCTCCCCTGCTCTTGCAGAGATGGAGGGAGGCTTGGCTCAGGACCGGATAACAATAGCCTCCATTTATTAAGCACTTACTGTGTGCCAGGCAGTAAACCCAGTACTTAGCATTCATCATGTGATTTATTCCTCACAATTTACACACATTATTTTACTAAATCTTGATGTCTACCATGATTATCCTTATTTAGAGGGGGCCAGAGAGGTTACATAACTTATCCAAACCAAGGTAACCCCGTCAACAAGACAGCAGAGCTCAGGTTTGAACCCTGACTCCAAAATCCAGGTTGGTAAACCCTACACGGTCCAGCCTTCCTTCCTGACATTAATTTACTCCATCTGGTTCCGACATCTCCTGGTCAGAATCCCTGGCCACAACCAAGGCAGAGGGAACCTGCGGTTTACTGGAGCAATCTGGCAGGTCTGTGATAAGGACAGGACAACTAGCCTTTGCCATGGTGCCCCGGAGGCAGGAGGAAGTGTGGTAATCAAACTCAAGCGACCTGGAGAAGGGCAGGCTGCGGAATGGGGAAAGTTTCAGAGCAGAGAGAGTAACGAGCTTGGTGTGATGCACACCGAGTAGCGAAGGAGCAAGGTGTCTAGAAGAAAACTGCCAGATGCTACAGTGAGCCGACAGAAGACAGTAGCTTTGCAAAAACGACGGAGCGCGCTTTACTGTTTATAGGGAACTCTCACCTCCAGCACTTCAGCGGACCCTCACATAAACCCCGAAAGCGAGGGAATGTTAGCCCATTTTGCAGAAATGGAAACAGAGGATCAATGACTTCATCAAAACCACACAGCTGGAAAGAGGCCGTAAGACCAAGTCTTTGGACAGCAAGTCCCGCGCTTTTCCCTCCACTCCTCCCTGGCCCTGCAGCCCTCGGGGAGAGAAGACTTGCCTCCTTCTTGAAGAGGGTGAACTTGACAGCGCAGCCGTAGCACCTACTCTCCATGGTGGCTCCCAGCGCCGCAGGGTCTGAAGAGTTGAGGTCACGCTGGCCAAGTCCTGAGCCCCTTGGACCCTCAGCCCAGCTCCGCCCTTCCCTTCCCTTCCCTGCCCCGCCCTGCCCCACCCCACACGCCCACTAGCACTGTCAGGCCGCAGCCTGGAGCAGGGAATCCGGACGCTCATCCGCAGCCAGTGTACCGCAGTAGCGGGAGCGGGGGCTGCTGGGAATCGTAGTTCATTCATGACTGCCGGCCTTCCTCAGAGTCAGTCAATCCTGACCCAGAACACAATTCCCAGAGGGCTAGGCGCCACTCGGAGCCGGCAGTCTCCACTCGCGCTTAGACTCCTGGGAGTTGCAGTACGATTGCATCAGGCGGGAACCATGGCCGTGACCAAGGAGCTCTTACAAATGGACCTGTACGCGCTGCTAGGCATTGAGGAGAAGGCGGCGGACAAAGAGGTGAGAACAGTGGCGATGAAGGCTGATCCTGAGAGGCCCGGTGGCCCTTCCTGTCCTGGCGCTTCGCCCGCGGCTGACATCCGCTCTCCAGGTTCGGTCGGGTCCTGGGCGGGGAGCGAGGGTCGGCCCTATGGCCTCCGTAGGCGGGCTCCTAGACATTAACTGGACTGTACGACGGCCTCAAGAGGAAGTGGGGCCCAGAGAGCTCTTCTCGCCGCGCGGCTGTGCTCTCCCTGTGTGCCCGGGTGAGGCTGCAAGCAAGGGAACGCTAGCGTCCTCTGCGCCTGCGCAGTTTCGGCCTCCGGTTTTGCCTGTCTTGACTGTGACAAGAGGTGCCTCGTTTCAGTCTCTCCTGAAGGCTAATTTAATTTCTCCACCTACATCCTAGGGCGAAAGAAAGGTCAGATCTCAAGGCCTCTCAACTCCCTTTACATGGCCCCTTGCCAGTGTGACCGACGACCCTGCTGTCTTTTCTTTTCCACTCTACCCCATTGACTCTTTTCCAGTAGCTGATGCCCTTCTCAGCATGTGCTAGTTAGTGGGCTAAAAGCAGGAGGATCCGAAGTTTAAGGCAGATGGCCTAGAGTTCCATGTTACTTTAGGTGTTGTTAAATATGCCAGGGAGTGAAACACTGAGCGAGATGGACTTAAGATTTCTGTTACCTCCCCCTGGATCATGGTGGTAGTTTTAACAATACAGGAAGGAGAGGTGTTCATCATAGGAAAATTAGTGCCTAGTTGAGC